CAGGTGTGTCTTCAGAGTTACCAGGCGAGAACCTCGACAGTGCTGAAGGAACTGGGTCAGCAGATCTGACAGCCAATGCTGCTGGACATCAATGACTGAGACCAGGTCCGCCCAGAGCCGATGTTGAACTTGTGTTGGGAGCAGCTTGAGGTTTCGAGGATATGCACAAGAAGAACAAACGAACTGCCGAGTTGGGGCACGAGTTGACCTCTGTCAAGAAAGTTGCCGACGACATCATCCGCCAGAACAATCCTCGCGATGACGAGATCGCAACGCTCAGCGGCCGGACCCCAAAACGACGTCCTCAACCTCCAGAGGTTTAGGGTGGAGCTTACTAGTGCAAGGTCAGAGGCGAGCCCCGAATCCCTGAAACCTACACCTTGTGTTGATCCCCCTTACAGCAACCAGAAACGAGGGGCCTCAATGCCGCTAACCCCCAACCTCCTGAAACCGGAACCTGGCCAGCCCTAACCCCAACAGCCCAAGCCCTCGATGCCAAATGGTAAGCCCTACAGCCCTAACCCTTGAAACTCACAGCACAAAGTCTAAACCCCGAAGCTCAATCCCCGACGACTAGAATCTTGAACCGTAAATCTTAAAGCCTCAGCCCTAAAAATCCTACCCTAAGCCCAAGAAGCGCGACACAAAGCCCCACACAATCTTCTTCGACGTGGCCGCGTGCTGCACCTTCCGGTTAGTATACTACAGAGAGTTACTTAACCGGCTAAGCCTCGTTGTTCTAGTCGCATCTCCCAAATACGGACGAGAGTTCAAAAGGCCCCTGCTGACAGGTAGGTTCGTCATCTACTATAGGGGCCTTAATAATTAGAACAGGGTTTGGGGGTATATTATACTATATTGAAACTACGGAGCACCCAAAACCCTATTCTAATTATTAAGTTACTTCATTACCAGGGCGTGGCGTTCTGAAGCTACTACGGTGCGGCAAGACATGGTGGCTAGATCGTAAAAAGGCACAGGCCCCTTTCAAGTCGTTGCCTGTATAATTTCAATCCTCGAACAAATAGTAAAGTATGTAGAATAATGGCCCCCTATAGGTTTTGGGCCATTATTCATGTTTGGCACTACGCTCTATCGCTGGTAACTGGGAACCCTAAACCCTAAACCTTATACCCCAAACCCTAAAACGCGAACCCTAAGCCTTAAACCTTAAACCCTAAAACAGGACCATTACCTGAATACACCGTTTGATCTGCCCGGCCCTCGTCTTCGGTGGTGGCATTTTTGTTCTTGTTTTGTTTGTTTAGGGTTTAGGGTTTAGGGTTTAGGGTTTAGGGTTTAGGGTTTAGGGTTTAGGGTTTAGGGTTTAGGGTTTAGGGTTAGGGCTTAGGGCTTAGGGGCTTTGAGCCTTAGGATTGTATTCTTTGGTTCGGTGACAGAATATTTTCAGGGCTCCACCATTCGAACAAAAAAGGGATTTGTAGCCGAGGCTCGGTGTCTGGGCACAAGACCTGGCCTAACCCCGAAACCCCTAAACCCTAAACCCCTACACCCCTAAAGCCCTAAACCCCTAAACCCTAAACCCCTGTACCCTAACCGCCAAACCCTAAACCCCTACAACCCTAAATCCCTAAACCCTAAACCCCTAAACCCTAAACCCCTAAACCCAAAACCTTTTAAGGGTTTGGTAGGAGCTTACGGCTTCGAGTTGACAGCGAAGGTTTGGAGTTGACGGTCTAAGGATGTTCGGCGAGATCACGATCATGAAGCGAGCAGGGTGTCACTCCAGATGCGAAATCTACCTATAGTCTCCATTGTAGTTCCTTTTTGGGGGTTCCCTTATAGGATCCTAAGTATAAGGTTGGTTTAACCAAAACAAGCAACTTACAATCCCAATGCCCGAAGCCTAACCCCCGACACGTCAAGCCCGAGACCCGGAAGCCCGAAATTTTTACCCCTCAACCTTAAGCCCCAAACCCTAAACCCTAATTCCTAAACCCTAAACCCTTTACCCCGAACCCCTAACCCCTAAACCGCAAATCCCAAACCTCTAGAGCGTTTAGGGGAACATCATTATCCTAATGCCCTTAAGGTAAAGCATAGGGAATCCCAGCACTAATCATCCTAAACCCTTGTTCCAACTTTCTGGAATTCGCTATAAACAGCCCTAAACCCTGAACCCTAAACCCCTAAACCCCTGAACCTTAAGCCCTAAACCCCTAACCTCCCTGCACCCACAAAGGTCGCAACCCCTAAACCCCCGCCAAACCTGAAACCCTAGAATCCTAAACTCCCTGAGCCCACAAAGGTCGCAGGCCATCTTTATCTGCACTACCCTAAACCCTAAACCCTAAACCCTAAACCCTAAAGCCTAAACCCTAAACCCTAAACCCTAAACCCTAAACCCTAAACCCTAAACCCTAAACCCTGAGCCCACAGAGGTCGCAGGCCATCTTTATCTGCACTGCCAACGATGCTTCCACGATTGACCGGCCACTCCTCGATCGGATGGAGGCTTGAAGGGTTTAGGGGTTTAGGGTTTAGGGTTTAGGGTTTAGGGTTTAGGGTTTAGGGTTTAGGGTTTCGGGTTTCGGGTTTAGGGTTTAGGGTTTAGGGTTTAGGATTGACACTTAGGAACCCCGAAAAGGACATAAGCATAAGCATTTTATCGGGATATCCCTACCTTATTGGGCTTCATTACAAGGGGATTTATCTGGGATATCCCTATCCTTAATGTGATGGTTTAGGGTTTAGGCGTTTAGGGTTTAAGGGTTTAGGGTCACGGGGCTTGCTGGTTTAATAATAACTGCTCAAAGTTCGAGGAATGGGGGCCTCCTTTTAATGTGATGTCTGTAATAGTTTACTTGGTAGTGCTGTTTAAAGTTTACGGCTCAGGATCTTGGTCCGGGTCTTTGAGATGAGATCAGAAGGCGGTAGCTCTACAGCATAGGATTTAGGATTAGGGGGACGCTTGGGGATATTGAGGTCCCTGTAAAGAGAGCCAGAAGTAGGGTTCAGAAGAGTCCCCTTTAAGGGGTCTCCCTAGTACTACCAAACTTCGATAGCCAATGGGCAAACTTTAGACCTTTTGGCCTTGGGTCTGTCTTAGAAAGTTTGAGTTTGATCTTTTTGGGGCCCGGTCTTTAATTGGCGGAGAGAGAGAAAGTGCTGACCCTAAACCCAAAACCCTAAACCCTAAACCGTCTTCTTCAAGGCTAGGTGGCTCAGGATGGCAGGTCTGAGTCGATTAAACGTTTGGGGTGTGGGGTTGCGGGTTTAGGGTTTAGGGTTTAGGTCCATGTACCCAAATAGTATATACTTTGGCCCCAAAGGACCTATATAGGGACTACATTGAGGCCAAAGTATATACTATTTGGGTACATGGAACCTTAGGGGTATAGTATCGGGGTTTAGGGTTTAGGGTTTAGGGTTGAGGGTTTAGGTTTAGAGGGCTCAGGGTGAATGATTTTCAGACACATTATATTCTGTGTAAAGTAATTATAGGGCGATCTAAGGTGACGCTACTATTGTCAAACGCTCAGACCTCCACATTAAGGCTTCGCTACGGTTCTATACGTGTTCGTTTGGGTTTCCAAGAGGCTACACGCGCTTTTTTCATGACGCTTTTGGGGGGCCAAGCCTGATCAAACGCATCGCTTGCCCTAAACCCTAAACCCTAAACCCTAACTTGGGAACCTTGAAATCTCCACCGTGGGCACGCTGGGGATTGAAACTCAGAGCCCTGAACCCACAAGAAATCGGGAACCCAAAGTCCGGAATCCAAAATCCTGCACCCAAATTGGAACATGAATCCGAAGCAAATTCCCAAATCCCGACCCCAAAACCCAAAATCCCCCAACTCCCCATATTTTGTTGGATGCCGGAGCCCAAAATGGCCTAGCACGCAGACGGCGCGAGGTCGTGAGTTAAAGCCGCCCCTCCTGCCAAAAGTTTTATGCTTAAACCTCAAAGCCCGAGTCTTGATAACGGCCTGGGAAGCAAAGACTATTCAGGTTATCATATAGCGTCCTTGGGTTGAATTAATTACGGTTGGCTGTCTGGGCAACGAACTTGTCGCGTATTTCTTTGCATGGCCCGGCCGGGTTGTCTCGTGGAGTTGCTTGCGAATTTTCTAGCGGATTTCACTGCGGATTTTCTGAAGATTCCATCTCCCGATTAGGGCTTAGAGCAAAAATCCGCCATGAATTCGCGCGGACTGCCGGTCAAAAACTCCACGTGCCAAAACATAAAACAAATCAGTGCAAACCTGGCCCAGAGACACAGCACCAAGCTTTAGGGCTTATAGGCTTTAGGTTTAAATGGTATTGGGTTTACGGCAAGCAGGTGATTGACTTGGCTGGCTACACAGTGGAAGAGAAGGCCATTTGCCTCTGCGCATTCAAGATCGTGAAGGCTTCAACCTAAACCCTAAACCCAACTGAAAGGATCATGGGACTAAGTAAGTAAAAGTATAAATCATAAGTACCTTAATTGGTCGGGCTATATGACCCTAAACCCTAAACCCTAAACCGAGGTATAGTTACTTTGTTTATAACCCAGTTACGAGGTCCCATGATCCTTTAAGTAGCCAAGGAGTATACTACACAAGGGCCTTCAGTTGCCCACTTCAAGGGTTTAGGGTTTAGGGTTTACGGTTTAGGGCTTACGGTTTAGGGCGGTTTAGGGTCTAGAGCTTTAGGGGTTTAGGGTGGTGGGTTTAGGCTTCAGGTTCATTCCCTGGTGGCAGTCGATGTCTGAGAGCGAGGCGTTCTTACCCAAGCACACTTCATCCTTGGTCCAACGTGGTCGAGATCAGTTGAATGTCTTTGTGGTGCAGCTATGCATGAGACGTGACGACCTTTAAGAGCAGAAGCTTTTCTGATGAAGAAGTCGCCGTGCCTTAGCACCCTGAAGGCAAGTCTTGCTCATGATTCAAGCGCACCTGTCCGTCCTTTCTTAACATGAAACTCTGCATATTCTTCAATTGACTGAACCCCATGACCCTTCAACCCGCAAACCTCGCACGTGACATATCTCAGGTCGCCATTGCGACCAGCCACCTTCTTCCAAAGCAGCGAAAGCTTCACGCACTTGAGGCGGGGCTTGTGGTCCGGGGTTACCCGTGCGGAACCTTGCTGTCGCAGTGCATGACGCTTATGAATACAACTACAAAAGACATCGCGCTAAAAGAGCAGGGGCGGCAAAAAAGACAGCCGCCCCACATACACGTGGGGGGACTGAACAGTTTGCAGTCACACTTCCCCATACGATAACATACTGAAAAGGTTTGACGCTGCAGCAAGGCCTTGGACCCATATTCAGACCCCCCTATCTTCTCCCGAAGACAGCAGTCCGCGGCCTGAAGCCCCACAATCCTCGAAAAGTGAAGGGAAGCCCAAAATCCGAACCTCCAGCCCCTGAGCCCAAAACCTCAAGCCCAAGAACCATGAAGCCTGAGCCCTTATAGTAATAGGAACCCTTAGTAATTATACGTTTGGTAGCCTTCATAGTAGCCCAATTCCTAAATGGTTCGGGGCATCCTCACACTCAAGTTGCGGGAGGAGGAGCCAGCTGAGAATGGTGAGGCGGAGCTGATCACTCTTGTTGCTCAAGTGTTCACTATATAAGTAATGCAGACGGTGTATGTATGTATGGTTAGTTATGTACGTATGCAGGTAAATAACACACACAAATATATGTGATTGCGTACACACACATATGCATATACATATATACAGAGTGTATGGAATATGTGTATATATATATATATGTGTGTGTGTGCGTTGCCTATGCATGTATGTATGTTTGCATGCATGTATGTATATATGTATGTATGTATGTATGCATGCATGCATGCATGCATGCATGCATGTGTTTATGTATGCATGTATCTATGTATGCATGTATGTCATGTCATGTCATGTCATGTCATGTCATGTCATGTCATGTCATGTCATGTCATGTGATGTCATGTCATGTCATGTCATGT